TTTAGATAATACATGGGTACTTGGCACGGTTTTTTGAGGAATTATCAACACTTGCGACTAAAACTTAGACAAGTCTTAACTCTTTAATTCTGAATTGTATGATTTGAATGAATGATGAAGCATTTACTGCGGGTACAATTACATAATCAAATTGAATGTGACGTAAGAATACGAATTTTTATGTTGATTTCATTGAGAATGCGCCCAAAGAACTGAGCTTATTGGTAGCGGTAGAATTTCTTGTATGCGTGTGTGCAGTTATCTGCATATTCAAAGCCATTTGTTTTTGTGTATGCCCTTATTACTGATCAGTCGATCTCGAGCTGTTTTGACGATTTTGGTCGATCGCGGTCGCAAGTAGGTTGGCCACCCCTGGGCCCTAAAGCATCGTCTAGATTCGTTTTAGGTGGGCAGTAGCTGCCGAAAGCAATTTCTAAAGACAATGACTGATAGCGCTATCAACTCAAAAGATGATTGGTTCAATAATTTAAAACTTCACGCGTACCACTTAAAAAGCTCCTGCGTACCACTAGTGGTACGGGTACCACAGGTTGAGAACCATTGCTCTAGAGTGTCCAAAAAATTCATAGTAAAAACAATTAAAAATTTCGCTCGATTTCATAGTAATAACAATTGTAAGTTTTAATAAATTTCATTGTATGATAAATGAGAACTACAAGTACGATAAGAACTATTAATAAACGAAGACAAGGAAATTTTTAATTATTATTACTATAAAATTGGGCAAAATATTTTGGACACCCTGTAGAATATCCCAAGTTTAGAAATATTTTCGGGCTGTATTTTATGGAGTAAAGTTAGCAGTAATATAACCTTACCTTAGGCTCTTGCATCATATGAGCTGGCTTTGGAGGAAGAGGTGGCGGAGACAGAACTGGTCTGTTTCTCTGTGGCTTCCTGGGGGCGTTGGGAGACTTGACTGTGGGAGAGAGATCAGAAGAAGAAGAAATACTCGCATTTAATATACTAGAAGAGTCATGTTTGATGCTACCAGAGGTCTGATGACCTTCAAATGTCACTGAGTCGGGCGGAATTATATCCTCGGAAAAACTTGATTTACCGGTTTCTTTTGATTTTGTTGATTCTGGGTCTATTATAACTTGTTCTGGCTGTGAATTACTTTTTTTGACTGGAATTGGGGGTGAGCTAGGCTCTATTCCACAAGGTGGCGATGCTGTGCTCTTTTTGGGCAAAGGAGGAGGAGTATCACTTGACATAACCAAAGTAAGTTTTTGTTGTGGTGAGTCTAAAGGGGAATCCCCTGGGGATGATTTAGTTATGATTATTGGAATTATTTTTTGTTGACTTGAGGGGGTGAATAATGACTTGGCAATTTTTGAATCTGTCGAGTCATCAGCAGGTGGTTTTAGTGGGATGACAGTTTTTGGTTCGGGCCTGGAATGATTGGATGGTAAAAATGTTTCAAAAGATGGACGACCTGACGTTGGAGTTCCAGGGAAGAATACATTGTCATCTTCTAGCCGTAATGGTGTGCCGTGAACGACGACTTCTGGAGTGTCACCAGGTCTGATTGGGGAAATTGACATCGGGCCTAAATGTGTGGGAGAGGAAGGCTCAGAAGATGAAGTTTTACGACTCGTTTGAGAAGCCCGAGTTGGGGTCACAGGAAACATGTCGATAGATGGATGATGTTGACGTACCGACCAATCTTGCATTGACGTTACGTCGCTTTTCTTCCCGTGGAGACTATGGAGACTCCTGTTGCCATGGATACTTGCTGTAGACACCAGCCTTGGAAGTGACCTGTGGTGAATAGATAAAAATATGATAGCTTCTTCAAATAAGATATCAGTTATGTAACTAGATATAGAAAAACTGGTCAGTGAGAGAAGGGAGCCGCGAATGCACAGAAAACTACTGTCAACTGTTAATTTAGACGTAAGCAAGATGTAGAAATTTAAAGTAAACAAGAGAGCCATGCTAAAATATATAGACACGAAGTGATATGGGCATTCAATCTGTCACATAGGTACCTATGGCAGCTGAACAGCAGCAGATTTAAACTACGCAAAAGTCTTTCAACAAAAAATACAATCTTCAATAATCGATTAAAATTTCGAACTTTGAAAGTAAGAGTCGCTATCCCCTGAAGTTTTTTTTGAAGAAGTAGTTGCGGAAAGATTGAACAAAAAGATTTTTTTTGTAAGGTTTATAAAGAAGTAGCAGAAACAGAAAGCTTCCCTCAACAGAGTTCTCGTGTAAATCAGCTGTATTTATGACCAAATAAAAGTGTCGCACCAATTACTGATTTTTGCTAGTGTCTATACGGTAACCCTAATTCTTCTGTCTACTAAATGGTTAATCCTGGCTTGAGTTTCCTAAAATCGTTTCAAGTTACAAAAAATTGATATGTATGACACAGAAAAAGTTTTTTTACATTTTAAACGAGGGGTGCCAACCCTCAACCCTGCGCCACTACCCCATCCCCGACCCGTTTAGGCTACTCCCCTAAAATCACCAACCTAGCACTTCTAGCAGATGATGTCCTTCGTAGTCGTATCCGATGTCCGCTTGGACTTTTTGAAGTTTCAGGACTGAGTTGTGATGACCTTGAGTATCGGAATGAAGGTGAAATTGAAGGTCGTCCTCTTGATGGCTCACGAGACACCAAATCTGCTTCTCCAAAACTATGAGACAGGTTGCGAGACAAGGTTGGTGAGGCGACTGAAATAAAGATGAATATTAAACCAGAATATCTCAAACTGGGCACTCGACCACCCTTGGAAACATGGACAGTAATCTGAAATGAGGCTGTTTTTCTGGCGCTCCAGAAGTGTACCAATATGGTGGTAACTAATTTTGTTGGCCTACTTTACATCAAGTTGTGTAAAGAGGATGAAACCTATGGGCAGCGGGTATATTCACTTGGCTAACACAGACTGCCCCCAAACTAAAATAAATAAAATCTGAATACAATTATGGCCTAACCCTAACCTGGTACACACACTACGGGAGTAGCGTTTTCCCGGTATGATTGAGCCGTCTTTTTTTCCCTCTCCCCCCGTGGGATAAAGATAAAAATCTTATCTTAATCTCAAAGCTTACCAAATACATTTGTAGGCTTGTCAAATTCATTCCTTGCTTTCATATCTGAAAGAAAAATAATAGAAAATGATTCAAATTCATTTTAAACACATTTAATTCGCGAAAAAAAAATGTTCCAAGTAATCCATCTTGCTTTTAAAATGACGATTTACTTGGGTAAAATCACCTCTTAATAACCCAGAACCCAATGAAGCGCATAAAGGCAGCATGTTCGTATTTCTATTAGAATGATACTGTTCTGACTAGTAACGCTCCACTGACTTTTAGTTAAGAAGGTTAGTCCCAAATAAGGACAAACAACAAAAACATGCTCATGGATGTGTGGATGGCAGAATCAATTATTGGCAGAAGATTATTCTGACCAGTCACACTTGACCGATTCCAATGCTTGGTGCAGAAGATTATTCTGCCCAGTCACACTTGACTGATTCCAATGCACTAAAGTGGACCAGAAACAATCATGCACTTGTGTGAGTGAAAAAATCAAATCTCGACTCGATGATTTGATAATAACACTAGAAATTATAAAACATTTATTTGTATTATTAGTAAAAGGAAAAACTCGTAAAACTTTTTGCCATGCCGCAAGTGAACAAAAGATTATTTTGACATTACCAATGACTAAGTAATTAGCGTCTTGAACATATCTATGTGGGCGACACAATATAGAATTTTTGGTCTTTCTGTAGTGTGTGTACCAGGTTAGGGTCAGGCCATAATTTTATTCTGATTATCCTTATTTTAGTTCTATTACGAGTTCGGGGACTGTCTGTGTTAGCCAAGGGAATATACCCCATGCCCATAGGTTTCAGTCCCTTTATTAAACAACTTATGTAAAATAGGCAAACAAAATTAGTTACCTCCATATTGGTACACACACTTCTGGAGCGCCGAATATTTTACATTTATCCCGACGGATAGGAAAGGCGATGGTTAGTCGTGACGTCCTCGCCACAAATTTGGTGACAAGCATGTATAAGTTACACCAGCGTCAAGCTATCCACCTCATAGGCTGAGAGTACTTGTAGAAAATATGGTACTCCCGTAGTATGTGAACCAAGATGGCGAACAGCGAAACGTAGTAAGTGTATCAGTTTAAGGTTAGGCCATAATTTCACGTACAAATACTACGGTCACTTGGCTAGTCCCCGGACTCCTAATAGAACTAAAATAAAGAAAATTGGAATAAAATCATGGCCTAACCCTAAACCTGGTACACATACCACGTTCCGGTGTCTGCCATCTTGGTTCACATTCTACAGGAGTACCGATATTATTGCCTGATTACCATCAGAAGTCTATATTTGGACTATCTAGCCATGATTTATGTAAATGTTTGCTATTTGTTAAATAAGAACAAAATACAGCTGCCAAGGACTTGCATTATTTCATAGAGCCATGCTGACCAAACGTATCAACAGCCAAGATGAAACAGATATTAGATAGTAATATAGCAACAGGTGTCTACTGAAAACAAATGAGTAACATGCACAATGACACCAACGAGTATATGAATGCAAGAGAAGTAGCCAATCTTGGTTTCATGAGTGCAAGCTCTTGCGCAAAAGAAAAGAAAACTCACCAAAAATCGGGTTACAAAAATATAGACTAGATTAAATTTTAATGAGATAGAAATACGAAACCAGGTGAAAAATTAGCACAGATGACCAAAGAGTGTTTATTATAAATATTCGCTCAATGAAAAGTCAAGTAAGCGAGTCATAATGTACCATCCAGTTGAAGTTAGAAAATTCAGAAGCAATAGAGGTAAGAAGCATTATTGCGCAATGATGGGGTCAAAGTTCACAGAAAACAAATGAAAGACAATTGACAGAGACCACAGCCCGGGATAGAAATATCAAAATAGGTATAGATACCCCAAGACAAAGGTGAAAGGTCAAAGGTGAGGAAATGATTATTGAAGAAACTAATTTTGATCACGCATCACTGAACACAAGAGTCAAAGGTCAAATGACTGATAAAGAAATTAATTCAAGACACAACTCACAGAAAACAAGGGTTAAAGGTCAGATGAAATGATTGCTAAGGAGGATTAGCTGTTTTGTCAAGCATAATTGAACACAGGGGTTAAAGGTCAAATGAAATGATTGCTATAGAAATCAGATTTAGTCACACATCACCGATTCTAAGATTAAAGATCACCAAGCAAAGGTTAAAGGTTAGAAAGTAGTCTCTAATCAGCAGCAATCACCTTCACCCAGTTTTCTCCGCTGGGGAGTAGAAGAAACAATCCCACAAAACGGTTCATAATCTTCACCTTCCTGGATCCGAGCTGAAATTTTATTTGTAAGATTAAGGAAAAGCACCAGAGACAGCAAAACACCGGTTTTAAGTTTAGATAAAGCTTTTACGAGTAGGTTAGGATTTTACTTTTTAACCTGGGTGGGAGGAACGTCTAAAAGATGGCTAAATCACATGGTAACTTATGGGCTCTCACCCAGTTTCCAGTCCATGTTGGGTATGACAACGATCAACCTTTTTTTCAGATGCATGGACTATTTATTGAAACCGATAAAAATTAGTATCTACATTTTGGGAGTGAAAAAAAATTAAAAAACTATATAGTGAACTCTAAGTAAAATTATAGCTATGTCTACAAGTGTGCAAATATTCATGATTAACTTACAAATTTAGCTTTGTTTGTGCAGTTCGAACAAGCGCCCTATAGGACACACACAGTGTCGAATCAAATCAAAATAAAGACAATTTTTTCACAAATTTTGTCATGAACTTTTGGTCAAAGTTTTCCCCCCAGAAACTTTTTTACTCAGAAGTACCTGTCTATTACAAATGAGCCATCGCGTAATTAGGATTGTTATAATCCTAAATTGATATGGCAGTCAACATATTAAGCGTGAAATAAAACATAAAAAGTCATGTCATAGGTTGTTATATAAATATTTTAACAAAAAATATCCACATTTAACGCATTTATGATGAAAAAATGAGAAATTTAAAAAACAAAATGTTAATTTTGATTTTCTAAGTCATCAGTCATAACAAACTTAGTTTATCGAGTCATTAACGCTCGAAATCACACAGGGATGATTCAATGTTAGTATAAAAAAATCTGTGAGCTATCACACATGAAAAAATTGAATAATTGCAATGATTAATTCAGAAAAAAAAACTTCTGTTTTTAATTTATGATATATTCAATATCCCACATTCATAAATATTTAGAATGTAATTGAAATAACAGCATACCCACATTACCCAGATTTACTCGTTTTTTTGTTTTGTTTAAAAAAACATCCTTTCCCTACTAAAAGAGGTGAGTTGAAAAATTGAAAATATTTTAGAATAATACAATTTGTCACATTATAAAAAAATTTCAAATTTCAAATCCCTAAAATCTTACCTATGATGAGCTTTGCAATGTCTCTTGATATCTGAGTGTCAAGTTGCGACACGAGTTCCAATGCAGAGCGCCCGCTTGTATCCTTTGATCCAGTCTCAGCTCCTCTCTTAAGCAACAGACTGACAACATCATACTTTCCAAATAACGCAGCTTCATGCAATGCAGTACCATTCGCTCCCTGGATTTGCAAAGTAAAAGAATTATTTTTTCATTATTTAGGCATAAATGAGTCAACTGGATTACAATATCAGGAATATGGAATATCTTTTAAAGTGGGCAATATTGAACAAGGAAAATTTCAAGAAGTCTTTGCAAACATTAAAAATTCATTTGAAGAATATTTGAAAAACTAAATATGTTAAACAAAGTAAGAAGCTTCTGTAACTAAATTAAATTGAGGTATTTTGAAATAAAATTTCTTTAATTGATTTTTATATGAAAATTAAATTTTTACTCAGTTTAATTTTTATTTGGGGATCAGATGCCAAACGGCTAAAATAAAATGTAAATAATTTAAATTTTTTTCTAAAAGCAAGAATAAACTACAATCACGTTTTGCAAGACAGACAATTTTCCATAACGGCTAGACGCTCGGTCAGAGTAGGGTGGCTCAAATAAACATAGGTTAAATGCATCTGGAACAATAATCTAGAAATAACCATTTCATTACTGACATTGACTGGTAACTGGACGTGACACACCGGTTCACAATATGATTGGCTTCCGTACTCTTATCTTAAGCAATCAAGATCGGGCGTCAGTGCGTCACAAAGTCGTCTTAATTCAACTATCAGGTAAACAAATATCCGATCCGAAAAATTCAAGAGTATTGTCGATGTTTTATTACCGTTCCACAAGTAAACAATTTATCAAAAAGTAGTCGGCAAACAGTGAAGTTATTAAGTCTGCTGGTATTTCATCAAGATAAAAAAAGATATTCTAATAAATTTTGAAAGTTTTCTATTCCATTATGGGTTGCAATATTTAAAGTACAAAACAATTCAGAAAATAAATCTGAAATTGGTCATGTTCAATAAAGTAAATTCTCAATTTCAGTAACAATACAGGGTGGTATAGTTTAGGGCAGAGGTCGGCAACCTTTTGTTACTCGCGGGCCAAAATTAAGGTTGCAAGTCATTGACGGGTGGCACATATTTTTAGAAAGTTGAAATCCGAACGGATGATACTTTTTATAATAATAATGAATCAGTGATGCATTTCTCGAATAGAATATCGATTTATTTCCTTATTGCATTGCATCTTCGGCGCCATTGTACCCTTTGCACTCTACTGCGTTTTGTTACCATTTGTCTAATTATGATTAAATTATAGGCTCATTAAACGAGTAATTGTGAATTTTATACTTAGATTATAATTATAATTTCGTCTACACGCGTCTCACAATGAATTGTGTAACGTGAAAAATATATTCATCAAAATAGCTGTTTTGTTACTATAATTCAGTGAAGCGTCGAGGGCCGGATTATATTACTCCGCTGGCCGTAGGTTGCCGACCCTTGGTTTAGGGCTTCCCAAACTGGGGGTCGTGACCCGACAGATGGCTGGACAAGGAATTTTAAGGGTCACAAAGAGTACACCAATTTCACACAAAGTACTACATCTAATATTCTTTTTTAGACTATTGAAACCAGCGCAAATTATAAAATGCAATTCTGCAATGCAGTGCAAAGAGTCCTGCTGCAAAAATAACACATATATTTCTGCAACGTTTCGTCTGACCAAAATCAGACTTCCTCAGACAAGCAGTTTACTGCAATCTGCAGAACTCTTGAATGGCATAATATGGTATTTTTATTCCTGCTACAGCATCTTTGCAAGGCATTGAGAAAGGATTGGGAGTTAGTCTCGCGCAACCTCTACTGATAGCAAATTATAAACCTCACAGTTCCAAGAGAATGCATAGGATCAGAGAAACAGTGTGCCTGCATAACAATGCCTGCATAACCAATGATTGTTAGACCCGAGAAGATGCGCGCTTGCATGACAATGACGACCTAACAGGGGTCGCGGAAAATTTCAATAAATTGGAAGCGAGTGAGCTTAAATGTTTGGGAGATCCTGGTATAGTTTGATTTTGAACATTAAGGATCTAATGGTCAGACATTATAATTCATTTAACATCTGAATATTTATAAATAGAAAATAAATAAGGAAAGTTTTTTTTATTTCTATAAATACACAATGGTTTCTGTAAAATTTTCACTTAAAAATGATTCAATTTAAAATAAATTCCATAATTGAAATTTGGAAATATTATTTTAAAACACATTTAGAACACATTTCGAATACACAGTGGTAGTTTTTTTCCATGTTTCAGTTTTTAATTTAATTACCAACAATATATACGAATATTGCCAATTTAAAAAACCATTCTTAAAATCCCTATGTCATAAAAAAAACATAAAAAGTCATTCTGCTTCTGAAATACCAATTCAAAGATGAATTCCCATTAAAATCCAAGATTTTACAACAAAAACCACTAAATTGGAGCAAACAATAAAAAACTAAAATTTATTGAGAACCAAATAACTTTTATTGTTCAAATAAAACTAGAAATACTTATAGTAGTACCAAGCATGATCAATACCTAAATAAGGATTATTATCAATTATTTAAACTTGGTCATGGATATTGACAAATATTTTAACAAGAGGTAAGCCAGCATAAACTTATTCAAACAACCCACAGTATCAATAGTGCCTCATTGTTCAGGATTTTTGCTAAGTTGTTAAATTTCTTTTTAGCTAAGATGGACAAACTACCGTAACTAGAAAATATAGATTCTAAAATAGGAAAATTGCATTTTTTTCAGATCAGATCAAGTTTCTGTTTTTTTTGGAAAAGAACTTTTGAATTCAGTAGACATCTGTTTTAATAGTGGGTTTGCAAGCCAAGTTGTTAAATTTCATTATAGCTAAGATGGACAAACTACCGTAAACAAAAAAAAATTTTGGGGGAATTAATCTTTTTCATACAGCATTTTTCACGTTTGAAGAATCCCTGTAATGCCACTTTGCCATTATCACTGTAAAATGACCTTTTGAAATGAAAGGTTTTGCGCAGAGTATTCTTCGAAATTGCACTAGATAGGATATGGTATAGGATTCACATACCGGTATTTATCCTGGGGGAGAGAAAACCAATATGATGACTCAATCATATGGCAAACCACAGCCAGTTACCATGGGAACAGTTAGCCAGTTATTTGTTTCAGATGCATGGACTTCAGTCCAGAAGCCACTGACATGCAGGGATTTAATGATTTCACCCACTGGCCGTTACCAGCAATATGCACACCACACTTTCCACTGTATAAAATGTTCATTTGCCATTCAACGGGTATGTTTGGTTGTAATAAGACATTAATAAAATAGGTTCATTTTGCTATGATTCATCAATATAGACTGGAAACCACAAGTTGATCATCTGCAGAACACGAATCATACATAAAACACGAAACCAACTTTTATACCACTCACCACTTTATTAATATCAGCACCATGCACCAACAATAACTCGACGACCCCTCGATGACCGTTCCGAGACGCGAGATGTAAAGGAGTAAAACGTTCTGGAGATCTGGCAAGTAGATTTGGATGGCAACTCAGTAGCAATCGAACAACTTCTAATCGGCCATACTGGGATGCCAGATCAAGAGCAGACTCGTCTCTGATGTTACGAAGCTGCAAAATTGAAATAATGAGATGAAAAGGGAAAGGTCGTATAATGCAGTGGTTTCCAACCCCTTTTTCAGGCAATCAATACTTTTTGAAAAGTTGAATTTTGTAAAATCTCCATCCCAAGGATAAAACAAACGATAAAATCTGCTAGAAAATGAAATTGTCAATTTTCAAGTTATTGTTGGAAAGCCCAAGCGACCCAAGATGATTTTAAGGTGACCTAGTTTTGGGTCGTGAGCCATAGGTTTGGAAACACTGGCCTGGCCATAAGATGCACAACGAGATGAAATATGGCAAAGAGATATCAGTTGCCAGAAAAAATCACTCTCTTATCTCCCACTGTTCTGTTTTCATCAAAATAGCAAAAATTATATACAGGTAATTGACATAAATATAATGAAAATAGCTCACAATTTGTAAAAAATGAAACTTTTTCAAAATCTAAGCAGTTTGAACACAATTTTATCTATTTCAGTCAAAAAAATATAACAAATTGCCAAAATTGGGAAATACAACTTCAAGTCTATGTCTACGTTACGAAAAATAATGTCAAATTCTGACTGCACAGCACTCATCAAAACCATACAAAAAATAATTCTACCCTAAAAAATCATCCCCACAACAGTATATACACCAACTCCCTGCTTACCAGAAGCATTTTACAAAACATGGGCATAAAATATTTATACGAACCTCAGGATCAGCATGGTTGTCGAGCAATATCTTCACTGACTCTCTGTGTCCATGTTGAGCAGCACAATGTAAGGCGGTTTCCTTGTCGGCGTTCTGTGAGGTAATATACGGTTTTATAAACATGGACAACTGGCAGGAAGCAAACAATATAGCAATGTCAATGATACAAATGTCGGGGCTCCCGAAGTATGCAAACCAAGATGGCGGACATCGGAATGTAATATGTGAACTAGGTTAACCCTAACCTGTTACCCATGTTACGTTACGTTGTCCGCCATCTTGGTTCGCATACTTCGGGAGCACCCAAATGTCTATACCAGGGGTTCCCAAGTTTTTATTTAGGACGACCCCAAAGACAACTTTCAATTGTCCAGTGCGACCCCAGGTCAATATATATATTTTTCATGAAACTTTGGAGCTTCTTTCACTGGACTTTTGAGTCTGGTCATGTGGTGGTATTAAGTAAAATAAGCTAAAACCAAACAGTGATGTCGCAATAAGCACCTACATTTTCTATAGCATAAGCATAGAGCGATGCCTATGGGCCTGTTTTACAGTAAGCCACGATACAAGCTGTTAAATTTAACATGATTTATCAAATCTTAGATGTTTCGTACATCCATCCTCTACCATACATCAGCGACCCCACCGACCCCATGACCTGTTTGCGACCCTACCTACTTATCACTCCGACCCAATTTGGGGTCGCGACACCTGGTTCCGGGAACCCATGGTCTATACAGACAAACTACAGTCCTATCACACATTCTAGATAGGTTCCTATCAAAATAATACATAGTACATAACAGCTAAATGACAAACGATTACAGAAACGTTTAGTCAATGTTTTGAATGTCCGTATTGACACTTATCAGGGCTATTAACAGGAAATACCTATATCAAAATATCCTTTTAAATACATTATTTAACTTGAAAATGCATAAAGACAAAAATAATGAACCTATTCATAAGTTTTGCACCGGTGCAGTGAGGCTGCTTGCCTAGTGCCTTATTAAAAGTGAGTTCTGTCGCTGCCTGCTGCTAGCTTAAGTCGTGACTAAAAACATGCCAGAGATAAATAATTTTTATCTTTTAATTACTGACCTGCTCATTCACACTGGCAAAGTTTGGACCATTAGTGAGTAATATTTTCACAATTTCAGATTTGCCGTTCCAAGCAGCAAGATGTAAAGGACGGCTCCCATTCTTGTCTTTAGTATTCACAGAAGCCCCAACATCAAGGAGTAATTGGACAATGTCACTGAAAAAATAAATTCAATTTTGTTATTTACAGCAATGCTAAAAGAATATAATTCAAGAAATTAATAAACAGTTGTAAATGTCTATTTGTGGGCCTTGTTGTCAGGCGTGTACCCAGGGAAAAAATTCTGAATTTGGTTTTTGAATTGTTACGAATTAACTCACGAGCCAAAGACCCATACATTCCTAGTGCAATACAAATCTATTTGTGAATTCAGAATGGTAAATAATTTGACCATCTCTGCATACCGAGCGCTGTGTATCAGTAGCAGTAAATGATTTAGTATTGATCTGAAGATGGCGGTGGAATGAAATGGAACAAACCAAACTAATCCAATAAATATATTAATAAGTAACAACTGTGAGACCACTAAAATTTTATTTTGGTTGAATGTGACACAAGAGATGCTAAATACAGTTAAAATAAATTATGTTTCACAGTACCGTACAGATAATACCTTGAATTGTAAAAATGGGTTAGGATATGCAATTTAAATTTTTATCGATAATTGCCAAATTAGTTCCACTCAACTTTGGAACTTTTTTTATTCTGAGCGACTTTTTTCACATTCAATACAAACAAGCATCACAGCAAATATGAAAGAATCTGCTGTTTTAAAAGAAATGAAATTTTTCTGGTTGAGCTTTTCACCTTTTTTCATTATATTGATAAATATTGAATAAATATGGATTGATTTGAGCAATCTTCCAAATCGACTAAATTTAGAATAGGTTTAATTCTCCTAAGATTTCAATAATATTTTGGGAATACATCAGGGGCAGTGAAGTAATAGTTTTTGGCCCATTATTTACAATCTATAGTGTGTTAAATATTAAACAATGGTGTGAACTAAATAAGAAGGAAACTGCAGATTGTAAACCTTAATTAAGACAATAGGAAGAATCTCACAATAGGGAGAAAATACCACATTTGATAAAAGCAAAGTTTATTGTGGCAACTGAATGAACTGAGCCAATAAAAGCACAACTGGCCATAATATAAATACAGCCAGGAATATGAGCTTAAAAATGTCTATTTCTTTGCAAGTTTTTCAAATAATAATTTTGATCGTTTCGACCTTGAAACTCCTAAAAATAAACATTGACTTGTTGAGAATCTGATACAAAAAATTGCAATTTCGATTTCTGAGTTCCACAAATAAGTCATTTCTGAATTTAATTCAGACTCATTTTTTTTTTAAATAGACGAATTTAATTGGTGATCAAGTTTCCAAATATGAGAGAAGGTTTGATTGGAGCTTCAAAAACCTTGAATTGAATATCGGTTTTCAAATAACGACAATGACTCATAAATCATATGATCAAAGTAGATGACTTAAAACAAATTAAGTTATTATGAAAACTAAGATTGATTCATTATCAAATATAATGAAACTGCCTCGAGGCAATTCTGATATTATTTTAATATTTTTGTTTGAAGTCTACAATATTTGGTTTGACAAACTTAAAATTGGAAATTTGCTCACAGCAAGGTCACAAGAGTGCAACGGAAAATAAAAAGAACAAAATTAAGTGACGAACAGAAATGGCCAAATCCCATTCACTAACCCAAATACATTCTCACAAAAATGTTGTGAGTATTGAACATATTAAGTCATGATCAACGAAGAAAACATCTAGGAGTCAATGCATATTAAACTTGTTTGAACTTGAAAATGTAGTTTGTTTGGTTTTCTACTTTTTCACTTTTCAAAAATTGAATGGAGGCACTTTTTGTCATTCTGTGTGACAAGGCTCTGTGTGGAAACGGCCTGAATCTTTGCAGTTATACAGTGCCTGGTATATTATGTTTCATTTAACATTACTATCATTAAAACATATTTCTTCTTAAACATATGCATGATTACCTATTTTTTAGATTGTAAGGTCTTGAACCTGTTAGTCCTGTTTCTGTTATACTGTTTACTTGGTACTCTCTAGTACAGGGGTTGTAGTACTCAACCTTTTTTCTGTCAAGTACAACGCGAACCCCCGGTAATCAGACACCGAACAAAGTTGTGATATGATATATTAACTAACAATTTGTTGCAACACCAATTATTTGACCATATGTAACTAAATTGAATCGTCTTGTTGATATTATTGCCCTTGTTGTCTGCCTAACTAATGAGTTCTTAAAATCTCTCCCAAGTTACAATGAGCATAATCACCTCTACAATGCTCGCAGCACGCTTTCTTTAGAGATTTCATAGTTTGTGCACAACGCCTTGAATTTCACATTGTTACGTCTTAATCACAACAACGCAAGATCAAAGAAAATCTATGTTTCAATTGGCGACTAATTTCAATGGGCACGCATTTTCCCATGGAAGTAATAAAGGATATTAAAAAACAGCAACATGCAAAAACTCGACTGTCATCCAAGTACCCCTGGAAATCTTCGCGTGATCCCCTGGGGGTTCGCGAACCCCAGGTTGAGAACCCCTGCTCTAGTAGTATGTGTACCAGGTTAGGGTTACGCCATAATTTTATTCCGATTTTCCTTATTTTAGTTCTATTACAAGTTTGGGGACTGTCTGTGTTAGCCAAGTGCCCATAGGTTTCAGTCCCCTTACACAACTTGATATAAATACTTGGGCAAACAAAATTAGTTACCTCCCTATTAGTACACTGTACACATACTTCTCATGCGTCGTTTATTTATTATGCAGATACTGTTACATCTTTGAGGCAAATAAACATACCATAAATAGTGTTCCTAACCAGATAGTCCTAGCAATATATTCAATCCATCATGTCAATGATTGAATAGTAAATATGCCAATGAAGATTGAATCAACCAAAAAAAACTTTGCTAAGATAACTTTCGCATACCTGTGGCCATTCAATGAAGCATGATGGAGTGGGGTATATCCATTCTGATCTTGGCAATTCACATGAGCACCTACTCGAATCCTGAAAAAAAATTGAATTATTTATATGGCAAAAAAAAATTCTAATAATAAGTCTTTGCTTGAAATTTATACAAAACAGTCATTTAGAACATGTATTTTTTGGAAAGTTCACAATTTTTACGCTTTGGCATAGAACGATCAATTTATTACACCCTACTACAATTTATTACACCACATGGTAGTAACACTTTGGGTGCCAAAATTATATACCGTATATTTTCGCACATAAGCAAAGTTTGAAACTCAAAATAAATTTGCCAAACCAAAGGGGTCAGCTTGTACGCGCATAACTCTGATCGCACTAAAGGGTTTGACAGTGATAGTAAGGATGAATTTGAAGTATTCTGTTATTAATAAAAGTAAAACATAATAATAATGGTCATCATTTTCATTAATTCTCTCCTGCAACTATTTGCTATCACAGGTGCGTAGCACTCGTTACGATTTGTAGGGTAAACATTATAAATATTCATGTGAAAATGGTGTGTCGAATATATTATGAATTGGATCATGCTTAATAAACAAAACATGGAATTCAATCAGTTTGAATTTGTAAATGCAGGAAAAGTTATAGATTCAATTGGTTAATATAGGCTACACATTATTTTTGGAAACTAAATAAAGAAATTTTTGGTCACACTTTAAGACTTGCTCAATTGGGATTGCTCAAACTTCTACATTAATAAAAAGGTACCCCCATAGTATGTGAACCAAGATGGGGGACATCGGAACGTAGTATGTGTACCATGTTAGGGTTAGGCCATAATTTCAGGTACAAATACTACAGGAGTCACTTGGCTGGTCCCCGAACTTGTAATAGAACTAAAATAAGGAAAATTAGATTAAAATTATGGCCTAACACTGACATGGTACACATACTACATTCCGATGTCCGCCATCTTTGTTCACATACTACGGGAGTACCAATAAAAATATCCTGAGTTACTAAATAGATGCATTTTGAGGTCATCCAGGCTTGATTAAAAAATTTTCCATCCTTCTCAGAATGTTGATTATTCAAGATAAATTATTAAGATAGCAATTACCGCAAATGAAAAAGGGCAAAGGAATCAATAAATCAATTTTATGTAATCAACAAACTGATGAAGTAATTAACGAGTTATGTAAGGATGTCTATATCTGAGTAGTTAGGATACCCTACCCATTGCTGTAGCTTATTAAATTTTATGTAATTAACAAACTGATGAAGTCATCACTAATTAACAGGCTATGTACGATATATATCTGTGTAATTAGGATTTATAGAATTATTTTTGTACAAAGCTCGTTCGCTCAGAGCAAGGCCATATACAGGCAGCTGACACAGTGACAGCTAACAAGATAGCTGCTATTATTTGTAAGGGCTGAAATCATTCTAGTTCGTCATTGCCTGCACTAATTATTAAACCCTGGGTGTATCCAATATCGAATACTATGAATATGAATATTCTGCGATAAAATCATTGCCAAATCATCCAAGAAAAAACGTTATATTTGACGCAAAAAAACAATAATTTTATAGCAAAATCAAAGTTCAAAGTTCAATCAAACAACAGAATCCCATTCCATTTGATGCAAATTTCAGAGGGTTTTAGCTACGACATAGTCAAGATTCGTAAATAAGAATCAGCTCTTTTGTTGAAAATCTGAAAATATCGGAATGAGAAAAGAAGGCAAGAAGGATCATAATTGTTTAGTTATTTTTTTTAAACAGTAAAACACTAACATTATATTCACACTTCCTAAGTTATTTGAGATCAAACACTGATAGGATAAATCACTGGAAAAACATGCATTTTCGATGCAATGATTGAAAAATAATTCTGAATCATTTCATGCTGCTATTACCCTGAATATATAGGCTATGTTACATGCATTTATATAGCATTTACATAACATATTTGACAAACCACGAGGTACATTTCAAATCCTTTTTTTTTCTGAAAAAGGTTGTGCCCTATAGCCAGATGTGCCTTTTGTATAGACATAACCCACCTTATAAAACAATGTGCCTTATGGTCAATAAAATAGCATACAAATGAAAAAACACACAGAATAAAACTCAAAAAGATCTAAAACTAAAACTACACTACCAAGCTGACATACTTGAATAATTTTTTCATTCGAGACTTTAACCTACATCGAAACGAAACAAATTATTGAGTGACAATTAGAACATTGACTACATGTGTGATATCACGAAGACAAGATAAATAAAAAAAAGTTAAGAACAATTATATGCGAGAGGATTGCCCTCTCAATGTCGAAGGATAATTCACATATCCACGGGTCTCTCGGATTTTATTCACAATCAATTTCATGTATCTAGAATAATAAACTAGACGCCTAATATTTGACCCAACTTGAATGGGTAATGGCCAAGATTTTGTGGTTCTTCATGCCAATTAGCCATCTTATAAGCTTTATTCTCCCAGGATAAAGCAGAAATTTAATCCCCAAAAACATCAAATTAAACAAATAAAATTACCAAATGTTAAACACGTATTTGAAATAACTAATAGTTAACTATTCTGAAACCAAACTTGGATTGGTAACCAGATAAGAGTCTTCATGACAATTTGCCGTCTTATCATACTTTCTCTCAGGGATAAATGCAAAAATCGTATACTGAAAAAACATCAAATTTTGATTGAATAACTCACCCAATAGAAGCAGCAAAAGCGCTTGATTTTGATTTTGAATGAAGAAGTTTTTCCACAAGGTTTGTATTTCCTGTTCTGGCAGCCTCGAGTAATTCCTGATCTTTTCCCATCGTGCTCAGTCAATGCATAGTTTCTATTATTGCATATTATTTATGATACTGTGGAGTGTGGACCAATAGTAGTCTGTGAGAATCAAAAACAGATAAGATATATAATGCATTTATATATTTATCCTAAGGTAGAGGAAAACCGACAAGATGACGTAATTATATGATGAACCATGGCCTCTCGTACGGTCACCAGACCAGTTTTTAGGGAGAAGAAAGCCGAAAGGACGGCTTAATCATATGGCGAACAACCATGGCCTCTCTCTGCTTTCAGCAATGACAGTTCACTCCTAAAAAATGAACTGAATTCTTGCTGAAGTCTCATACATTAATACAAATGAGTATGTATTGCACCTTATCTGTATTTTCACTTCCCAGAACCACAGACATCCCCCAATAACTTGTGATGTCTGCATACTAACGCCAACAAAATAGGTCATAGCACTATTGTACTTAAGTTTAACAATGTTTATTTAGCAAAGAATTCAACTACCCTTATAATTCTGAGTGGATTAAGGACAGGACAACAAGTCACAAAGATAAGACACTGATAGAAAAACAAACAACAGCAGGCTATATAACCAAGATAAGGATTCAACCAACCCCAGACTATCAAGAAAATAACCAAAGGTTGGAAAACAATTCAGAACCATTACCTTTAATCAAAATTTGCTCAAAGCAAAGTCTCATGCACTAGCTTAAAAATAAAAAGAATGATCTCCGAGCAAAGTTACGTCGTCAACTGTCAACTAAAGTGCCGGGAGGTATTGAGACTGTAAAGGAGTACCTAAATACTGATTCACGCGAGACTTAAAGCAGATAAGCCAATTCCCCATAACCGAAGACCACAGAAAATACTTTGGAACTTTGCGCGTAAAATTGTTGTCAGGTAGGAATACTGACTGTAAACGAGTGAGAGATCACAGTCAACCAAGTTTGGCGACTGAATGCTTTTTTAAACAAACTGACGCTGAGTAAACAAATAAAAATAACTTTGTGCTTTTGCTGGAATAATATTTCCATATTTATCCCCGGGGAGCAAAAGGCGCCAAGCAGCTTAGTCATGTAGCGAACTTCCTTAACTTTCAGTCACCTACGCAATAAACTGCACTAACACCTGTCCCTTCTAGATCTGGGAAAGCCAAGATAGATTAGACATTCTCGATGGTTACAGCCTAAAAATACATCCTATTAAAAGCAAGCTATAAAGTCGATACCCTCAATGATAATATACTTAGAAAAAACTGAAAATTTGCAATATTATAGATAGACAGTATCAAATAATAATTAATTTTAAACTCATTTATATACATGCTAAATGCTCACTGCCTTAACAGAACAGACATCATATTTATAGAAAGATTATTAAAATTTATCAGAAAAAAATTAATTAATAGCACCTAAGCCTTGTGCTGGACAGGCTTCAAAGAGCTTTATGACTCTGATATCAACTCTCAAGAGAGTTGCGTGATTATGATGGTACATTAAACGAACAGCACGGTGCATTACACAGATTATGAAGTCATAATCCTGTCATGTTATATTAATTATCAGGAAATAATGAAGTGTTAAGTTCACACTATTATGAGATAAACAATCCGGTCTATCATAGTTGTAACAAATGATTGCATTCACTGCATGAATCGAGCATACTATTACCACAAAAAAAAATTTGAATTGAGCAAAATTGAAACAACAATTTGCCATTTTAATGTTTCAGACAAGTATGCTGGCAAAGGAAAGATCATAGAAAAACAACAAAATACAAATGTATTGTTATCTAGAAAACAAATTTTCATTTTGAAATTTAGTTGTGAAAATCCACTCAAAATACCTATATTCACTATGTTATGTGGTGTACAAAATGATAAAATATTGACATAAATTCAAAGTTAATTATATTGTTTATTTGGATTTTGGAATTCTTCAATTTAAAAACAATTTAAAAATCGCTCATAAAATCAATACAAGCCGGACATAATGGCCTCTTTCATCTTTTCTAGAAGTAGACTTTCCTCAGACAGGAAGTTTACAACAGTTGCAAAATGAAATTTGTGAAAGTGTAATGCAACACTCCATATAACAGTTTTGATTCTTGCTAGAGTATCACTGCAGTCAGTGCATACAGATTTATTACACAAAGGACGAGAAAAATGAACACTAGTTATATACACACTACCATTTACCAAAATTGGTAATCCCGTAGTATGTGTAACAGGTTAGGGTTAAGCCATAATTTTATTCCGATTCCCTTATTTCAGTTCTATTACAAGTTCGGGGACTGTCCGTGTTAGCCAAGTTAATATACCCCCTGCCCAGAGGTTTCAGTCCTTTTACACAACTTGATGTAAAGTAGGCAAACAAAATTAGTTACCTCCGTATTGGCACAAATCAAATATGTCTGGAGTGCCCCAAAATTGGTAATAACACACTACAACAAACTCCGAAACTTTCCATTGAATTAGACAGGAAGCAATTATGAAGTAACAATTTCCTTCTGAAGCCAATTATGGAATCAATTTACGCATCACAGAGCAGGGTATAGTGATGTAACAAATGCAGAAAAGGCAACAAACACAGTAGTCAGAAGAAAACTCTTACATTTCAAATTTGGAATAAAAATACATCAACATTTTCTACTCCACTTCAAACAAGGGTCTGTCTGTTCAAATAGCTATTGCCATCACTTATAAAATGTATGGAAACTGCCCATTGCATACTTGATTTATTATACTTACAATGCTATAACCACCAAGCCATAGCGCAAAGTAAAATACAAAAATACATATCATATAGATATTATTGAACTAGCATATCTACCAGTAAATAATAAAATAGTCTTTTAGCAATGCCCTCAGCTACATAGTGTAAAAACAATTAAACTCAATTCTGATTCTATATCCAGAATGACAAAGTGGCGAACAATTCTGATATCTGACCTGTGTTTACCAAGTATCAATTGCTCATCCAACCAGCATAAATGATATGGGTATGTATGATTCCTGAATTAACTGAATTTGAGCGGCGCAACAGTGTGACTCAACGTGCTAAGCGTGAGGTATTTGCTCGCCACCACACCTCTGATTACTCTGCATGGGTTTGCAGGTTTGAACCCAGTGCGGGGATGGTTTATGTGCAAAAAGATTGCTGGACCCGCTGCCGCCATAGGGTCATTCACATAAGCACAGGTCAGTTACGACTTTCTCCACCGTCAAATTCATGCTTCCAAAGACAAATAGCTAACTAATCCCATACCCGACATGGAATTGTAACCGGACGAGAGGCCGTGGTTTTCCATATGGTTAAGCCGTCTTATCGGCCTCCCTAGCACCCGGGATAAATATGTAAATCCTATCCTAACTCCACCAAGACCATGGTATAAAAAATCGTGAAAAAACACAATCCAGTACAGAACAATTCTTCAATTCCAAGCAAGAATATCCCGCACATCAAAAAAACACCAATTATAACACTTAGTGCAAACACTGCCTTTATGAGAGAGTCTGGGCCTCCATATTGACACAAATCGGCAAACAGGCGTTGCAAAGTAAACTGAAAAGAACCGCAATTTACAAACATTACCATCTGATTTCTCAAAAAAAAAATTATCCGATTTACAAAAGAAAAAAGCAATTTTGGTCAAGTGACGGAAGGAGGACGACACGCGTTGCAATTGATTTAATCTTTTATTGAGACATGCATGGCGAAATCTACGACATCTGCTGGCAGGTTATACCTCTCGTTCCAGAGACAAGTAGAATTTTCGCTAATGAGGTTTTAGATTTCTGAACATGAATAAAAGTCAAAATACATGATGAGATGAAACTCTAGCATTCACTTTGAAATTGATTTATTCACAATTTTGGAAATTGTTTGCAAATACAGAAATTAAAAATTTACGATTATCAAGAATGATGAGAACAAGCATTTGGATATAGAATAGACACCTCAAATATAAACTAGATATATATATATTCACAATATATATATGATTGAGCGAACACATAGTTACCCATTCTTTTGGCAACATTGCTTTATTTAAATTGATACCTTGTTTAATGTTTTGTCTTCTGATTCTGTAATCAATTTTCATTGTTTTATTTTATCTATAATGAGATAATATAATCGTGTAGTTTCGTACCTCAAGTGCTTCTAGTGGTGGCAGTATAACAATTTTTGCACATGTCAATCCTAACCCCCACCTGACCAATCCATCTAAAAATTACATCGCGACGACGTCACAATCCTGCAATCACGTCATAGAGCTTGCCAAAGTATACCTACGATCAACTGAAATAGCATCTGCACCGACAATAAAGAACCCACTAACGGCAGCAGTTTCTTTCATATCGCAGTATCGGGATCGCTACGAGTGCAACGACAGAAATAGATTGCTCAATTTTGGGTGGTCGTCTACGCGACTTGAATGACATTTTGAAGGGCCTTATTATGTCATTGTGACATCGTAGTGACATAATTTTTGGATGATGGAGTCAGGTGGGGGATAGGATTGACATACAGACATATGCAAAGATTGTTGGGTCTGGTATAGTTTATTACCACATCCACTTCTAGTTGGCCTGGCTCAACAATTTTTGCATATGTCAATCCTTACCCCCACCTGACTACGTCACCGAAAAATTACGTCATTCCGACATCACAGTGGCGTAATAAGGCTCACCGAAGTATGCAGATGGTCGTCCAAAACGCGCAGACGATAACCCGAAATAGAGCAAGCTATTTCTCTCGTTTTCTTGTCGCAATGATCACGATAGGAGAGAGATCGCCGGCTTTAGCAAGTTCTTATCGGCGGCGCAGATGCCATTTCGGGCGATCGTAATTATACTTTGGCAATCCCTGTGGCGTGATGGTGTGACGAAATTTCTGGATGGTATAGTCAGGTGAGGGTTAGGAATAACATATGCAAAAATCGTGACAACCCAGATCTGCAGATTGTTATGCTACGCCCACCAGAAGTGCCTGGGGTACGAAACTACACTAGACCCTAAAAGATAACCAAATTTCAGATTCTGGTCAGACTGACCACTGACTGCTATGTTGCAGT